ATCATGGCAAGTTGCTAAACGGGGGTCATTGTCAGGCAATCCAGATCCTGACCCGGACAGAACACAATTCCTTTACCCAGTCCCGAAACTAGGCACACTTGCAAGCTCTTGGTAAGTGTTGTTACATTGCATCTTAGATTCTTTTCTTTAGAAATCTTTAAAACGTGTCACAAATGAGAAATGAACGGGAACAGGCTCCTTCCTCATTGACAGGGATGGTGTGTCTGAACTCAATGAACAGCGCTTGCACGTAGCCATACAAGCAAAATTCCATGGGATCTCTTTCAGCCTCACACAGAACATGAAGGCCGTGAAGGAAACTTTCTCTGGTCTTACCCGACTGATGTTCAAGCAGCAACGTTTAGCAACTTATGCCCAACCAAGTAGCCAAACATCCTAGAAACACAGGTCCAAACCCTGATGCATCCCGTACTCTGGGCTTCGGAGATGGACAGCATTGGAGGTGTACCGGTGTAATCACCCAGCCTTTATATAGATGCTTCTAGTCACATGTCATGTCACATAAAGGCAGCAAATCATGTAGGCCCATTCGGCTTCCCTTGGCCTGTGACTGAGATGGTCCCAAAGTCGCCTTTAAGCCTGCAAAAGCGACAGCGACACGCGGCGACACTGCTTATGAAAGGCTGTAAGGGTCACCTCAAGATCTCTAAGCCTTTTGCCTTTGACTTTCGGCCAGTCACAATTCGGTACAACTTGCACATGAGTGAGGGCTGAATTGATAAGTTGCCTTTTCAGAATTTCAACCTTCAGGGTTTAAGTACGATTTGTATCATTCTGATTCATTTTGTCCATATTGGTCTTGACTTTTTGCTGGACTGCAGTGACTGGAAATGCAAAGTAAAGACCCTGCCTATATCACTGGAAGGCAAACTAAAAACAGCATCTTCAGCATCCTCGCCCAAATGAGACCTCCAAGTTGAGAGGCAAAGGCCAAGTTTGCTGAATCAAAGAACGGGCGCAAAGTCGATCGACACAAATCGACGCCAACTTTGCCTGAGATGGTACACGTCACCAGTGGCAGCAGTTCGCAGGCGCACAACCCAGGCCCTGGTTCCAACGATCATACCTTGGCAAGGGGGGCAGGAGGGGGGCAGCTCTTTGAAGAACCTGAGCTCCTTGTAGCTTCCAAGCTTGCTAGTTACTCAAGCTGAAGAAAAAAACAAAAACCAGCAAGGAAATGAAACATCTAAAGTCCTCTAAAGTCTAAAGTGTACTCTGCTTCAGCTACTACCCCCCTCGTCGCTGGACTACCCTCCCAAAGAACGAACGAAAGAATCAAAGAATACCTTTCTGCTTCTGTTTCTTCGCAGGATGATCTTGAGTGTTTGGAGAGCTAAGCTTCCAGCTGGGCTCGTATGTAGATATCAACTCCACCGCCATGTCGCGCAAGCTTTCGTTTCTTGGATACCCTGCCTGGGCATTTAAAATGGCAGACTCCCGAAACACCTCAGTCAGTCGGAGAATCTGAATGAATCTGAAAAAAGTTGAGGTGTCAGGAACATCATGTACGATGTGAAATCATTGCTGATACTTCCAAGGCAAGAGCTGACCATATCGGATCGAACGTCGTCCCTTCGCAGTTGAGAAACTCTGGAACCTGTTCCACAGTCTCTGGCTAGTCTATCCAACCCTGATGCGAGCCAATAGCCTTGAAGAAATGCCCTTCCGCTTGCCAATTTACGGCTACCCTTGCGAATAGGAGCCTGAGCGACAAGCAACCCTGCAACACCAAGCTTTGTGCTTGTGCTCATTTCATGTGCTTGAGACCCTAGCTTGCTGATTTGTAAAAACTGTGTAGTATTGAAGACTCTACAGATTGAATTCTGGTGCAAAACGTGCTCAAGACTCAAGACAAGATGCGTTGCCCTCATTTCACTCTAGTTGTTGAGAACATTGCTTACAGAGCTCCCACGGACCTGGGTGGCAGGCTCCAACACAAGTCTTTTATCGACGGCCAGTACAGTACACCGAAGCTAAGGCTAACACAGCTCAGTGTCAGTGCCCGTCAAGCTCAAGAGCTGTCATTGTAATACTTCCTTCTTCTATTTACTTTGCCAAGCAGCTAAACAATCATAGATTGAACATGATCAAAGAAATTCAACGAAGAAGGTAAATGTTCTCAATGGCCAGCGCCCTCGTGCAAGCTCTGTTTGTGGACGCATTGAATGGCAATGTGAATGATTCGTGCTGCTAAAGAAAACTACCAGCCCATTCAGGCGTGGTAAAACAGCTACAACAAGTCGCAAGCTTTGGTAACTTTGGTAGATATCAAAAGCCACCTAAGTGGGACGTAGTGTGCAGCTAGCAAGAACGTTCTAGCTTCTTGACCGTTGACAAGTTATTTTCTATCCTTTTCTGAAGGGGAATTCAGTGACGCACAGCTTTTCTCTGTCCGACCCATGTCTCACCCAAGCATTAGTCGATAATTTCGTGCAGGTCCTCTTTGAATTAAATGGAGGACAATCCATGACAACGCTTGTCAAGGCTCAGCCCGCAAATCAAACAGTTCTGTACAGGCGCGTCACTTGGACTGGTGCCGGCGGAGGCGCTTGCAGACCTGTGCAGCGCGGCGGTCAAACGTGCTTTCAAGGCCTATCATGATAGTACTCTACCCATCGTTCTCAGCGCAACAAGGAACAGCAAATGCAAATGAACAACAATGCAGCCAAAACTGCTTACTGCAAATTCTCACAGGCATGCGCCTGCTCCCCTTTGCGAATGTTTGCCGCTAGAAGTTCGTCCTCTGTATCTTCTGGCCAGGTGTCCATTGTGCTGGCTAGGAGTGCTTCGATCGGAGGAATGGCCCTGTCAGTTGCGAGCTTAACCAGCGCCACACACAAGCATAGGAAAAAAGAAAAGCTGAGCAAAACAGTGATGAAGGAACAGTTCAGTCCATGACACCATGGACCAAACCCAGCCATAGGCCTCCTCTGTCTCTCTTCAATGTTGTCAAGGCCTTGCTTCAAGCGGTCCAGCTCGCTGACATGGTCCTCCCACATTATGTGCATCTTGGGAATCCATATTACAGAAGGTATTGAATAACGAAAGGCTTGCACAGATTTTGGGGCCTTTGTCTCAGCAAGCTGCTTCTGAATGCGCTGCAATTGCTCCAGGACCTCCTGCTTAAAGTGGGCCACGCCACGCTGAGCAGCATCGGCCTTTGAAATCTATCTCAACATGTCCCAAAATGCAATGTCTTTGGGTGAAGCTTAGACAAATTCAATGCCTCTTGAGTCACAGCCGCTCTCCGCAGCTGGAGCAACTCCTGCAGTGCAAATGCAGATGTGAGCTGAGACAGCTTATCTCACATTCGGAGCAACTCACCCTGGTTCCCCCAACCATCCTAGAACAATACAAACAAGCAAGGCGATCACCTAATCGTCAATGAATCAATTAGAACTCATAGCCAACCGCCGGAAGTCAATTGAACTGCCCAGACTCGAGCATGGGCTGGACGAAGGGGAAAGCAATAGCAGTCCTCCTCCTGAGATCTTAGGATTGAATCGCACTCAGCCTGCAAAGTTGACGTCTGGGGCATGTGCTGTTACAATAAGCACATCATAGCACATCTATTTGGCATCACAGTTCGTACCTTAAAACGCTGAAGAACCTCGCTTTTGCGCTTTTCTTCCTCTTCCAAATGTCGGTGGAGCTCTGTCTCCAGATCCTGGCACCTGGCTTTGTTGTGAAAAGTCACGAAGCTGAAGTTGTGTGCAAGGGTAGGTAGGACTGGGCTGTACAAAACAGTTTCATGGCAACAGGATGAGACAACAAAGGCGCCATGAATAATTGACAAATCAGCGGCTTTCACGCCTTGCTTTGAGCTGAGCCAACCTGGCTGACTTCTTGGGAACTTTCTGAGGAGCTTCAGGTGTCAGCTTACCATTCAGTGCCTGAAGATCCAACTGCCCTATTCAGTTGTCTGTGGCATTTCACTCTTCAACATGAAATACATAGCTGATGACAAGTGAAATGAGGGCTTCGCATCCTGGTCCAAGCCCCACTTTGTAGCATTCACTGCCAGCCGCTTCAGGATGCTGTCCTGATGAGAGTGTAGTTGGACCACGACCCCTGCCACGCTGTGTGGTTTTCTTACGATTTTAAGGTCTTTTGTCTCATGTTGTCTGCTGTTCTTCTCTCCTTTCAAAGTCTTTCTTTGCTTCTATTACACCATGAATTTATATGATACCTCAGGCCTACCACTTCTACACTACGCTACCCACCTCGGTTGCTAGCTGAGTGGGTGGGGATGTTAACGTTCGCTTCTAAGTGCACACCCATTCTACAATTCTTCAGGATACTCTTCTACATACTCTTCTACGCCACGCTACTAATGACTTGTTGAACGAACTTTGGGTTGGGCACCGTGTAGTTACACTAAGATTGTTTCTTTTCAGCTTGATCTGGTCATGTCTGCCTAAATGCATTATTTTTAGCAGCTGAGTCTGTGATAGGTCGTCATGATGATTGCAGGTGACAGCAGCAAAAAGCCAAGTATCTGCCATCTGGTGCGCAATCCGTTTTAACTCTGGCAAATGAGGTTGCTCATCTCGATGTCCTGTAATGCAACAAATGGTTCAAGAACCAAGGCATTGGCTCGACAATTAACGGCCTTTCCTGAAGAAGCTTTTCCTCTGCTTGCCAGCTTTGCCAAATATCGATCAATCTCCTTGCCAAAAATCGTATGAAACTCCTGAGCAGCAATTTAGGAAAATGTGACCACCAGTCAGCAGTCTGATCTCCTGCAAAGACATTGCGCTTTTCACTGCAAAAGCCCGTGGCAAACCCATCCTTGAGATTAATTTAATGCCACGGAAGCAGAAGCATGCACATGAGGGGTCTCTGCTTCTCAACCGGGACTGGAACAAGTGAAAAACATGCCTGGACATTGAACAATTCTCTTTTTGGCTCTTCCTTTGGAATTACAGTTCGGAGCATCCGATGAGAAAGGAATGCATCTTGCCAGGTATTCTGGCAAATTACACAGCTTGCTTACTCAGCCAATCTTCAAGTGCAAGCATAGTAGTTTCCAATGATGCCCGCTCATCTCCATCTCCATGCTTTTGGGCAGCACCACGTATAATCTCGGCAAGCTCCTCCGCCGAAGCGGAAAAGCCAGCACCACGCATCAGCTTCTCCAGCTCTGAGGGACTTCGCCTTTCAGTGAAATCTTTTGGCATCAAACCTAAAGATTGAAATCTTGTTGGAGTGATGAGACTCGCGGCATTCAAGTCGTCACCATAGTTTACAGCGTTTGCAACTGACCTCTTCTCTGGCGGAGGAGCAGCCTTGTCATACCGGACCGATGGTATACCCAGTCCAGAATCTGTCTCAAAGTTTCGGCGCCCTTTCACTATACACTTGCCCAAGTCATTGTCAGGCATCTGCTCCAGCAAGGAATACGCCCCTTTGATGAGTGAACCAGCACTAATTGGATCACTGCTTGTAGGCTTTCCAAAGGCATGGTGGGATGGGAGACCTCTTTGGGATTGCAATTGCATCAAATTCCGACTGGTTCCAAGCTGGTCAGAAGTCACTTCCTGAAAGTTGGCCAAAGTGTCCTTGACAATGAGCGTGCTGGGAACTGACAGCGGCTCCTCTCCGCAATCCATGCTTAGGGCCGACTTGGCGCCAGCTCCGCTAGCGACTGTTGTGTCACCATGCCCGAATCGAAAGATCGGATTCTTCACATAGTTGGGCCATTCATATTTGCGATCTAACCCTTCACCAGGATCAGTACTACCATGAGTTCGCTTGTACAAAGCCTTGACTTCAGCACTTTCTGCAGTCCGGTCTCTTGGAAACATGACATCCTTGGCGCCCTTCTGTGACCGATCTAGTGGTCTTCCAAAGCCTGGAAAGTCTGAGGCAGAAACCTGTTGCGGCAAAACATGTCCACGGAGAAATGGCTTTGCCAAAGGTTCTTTTTTTGTGCTTTGATAAACATCTTCTGCCCTGGCATTAATGTACTCTGCTACTCCAAACTGCTGTCCAGACCGAAAATTCTGTGCGACATCTTCATCCTTGTTAGTCTTGATGCCATAGCCAGGTCCTGGATGCGGGATGGAGAGACTCTTCAGCCCCCAATGCAAGCCCATCTCTCCTGGCTCCCCCTTCTGTCGATGCCTGCGTTGGGTTGCTGTCATCGAAGTAGGAGAACGCGGTGAGGGGACGACAACTACATGAGCTCGAGCTCCAAAAGCCATTTCACCAGCTTTGCCGGCGGGTAAAATGCCTGGTGCTGGATCTGTTCTACAATAGCTGGCAGGGGCTCCATAATTTGGCGGATTCACTGCAGGATTGCTCGCAGTTGCTGTAGCCTTGCCCAGCACTTCCTGCCCCGTGCGCTGCAGCCTGTCCAGCCTGTCCCCTTCACTCTCCCTTGGAGTGAACCATGCTGGTCTTGGCCCACGGCCAGACAGCATCTTCCAAAGCCGCCACACCAAAAGTAGTGGGGTGACTACTGGGCGCTTGAGATGAAAGTTGAATTAAACGCAAAGAAGACTTCTGCTCAAACATGCACAAAAACATCGGCTTCCAAAACACTATATATATATATATCTTCTCTACTGCACACTGCAAACAGCATCGCAATTTGACTTTCCCCTGTTGCAGAAGGACCTTTTCACTCAAACTCTTCAATGTCAGTGCGCGAACAACCTGCTTTGGATTGTGAATGGCAAAAACCGTGTGTGAGTGTGGCAAAGCAAAAGCAAGACTGCGGAGGGTGTAATGTTACGCTCTCGCTGCTTCTCTATTCTCTGAACATTTCTGCACCCAGCCTCAGCCTCCACCGTCGCAGCAATAGCTTCTTCACGCGTTCCCTCCAAACTTCAAGTGCTACAAATCAGGCAACGTTTGAACGGTACTCCTATCTCGATTCCTAATCTTTGTGGCTGCACATTGGATGTACTCAATCGACTCGTTCTGCAAGTATGGCACAATGAAGCTGAGTTTGCGGACCAGAGACAGAACTCCTCCAAACTCGACATTAAGGAATCCTATAGGCTATGGCATGCACACCCGGCACACCCAGCAGGCGATAAAATGCAAGGATCAATACAGATCAACACCTTCACTCCAGTGATGAGAAAACCTGCCCATGCTCCTCCCACTGGAGTGGCTGCCCACTTTACAAAAGCCCTTGCTGCAACTTGAGCTGCCTCACGCACGAAGGAAAAAACATAAACCGACCAAATGAAGGGACTCGTGCTGGGGAAGGGAGAAGCCCTCGCTGCTCTCACAGCATGAAACACATAAATGACTTTACTTCGAATGATCCCCACCATGGCATTATATACTGCTGATAGCTGACGGCTATATTGCTTCAACATCACAAAGAAAGTGCCAAGTACCAAGTAAGTGTCTATTTTGCATATGTATTGGCATAATTATGGCATTCTATCTAATATATTCTGGAGTTCTATGTGGCATAATTATACTTGAGAAGAAGGAGACCCGAAAGGTAGGAAAACCGGAAGGCAGAAGGGCAGGACCAAAAGGCGTTCTAAGCAGCGACGTCGATGTCGGCTCCTGATCTCCGGTACCCTGGACAAACGGAATTTGAAAAAGAAAGGAACAACAACAACAACAACAAGAGCGTTTAGGTGTAGAGTTACTCTGGCGTAAGGCGTGCTTGCATGATGAGGAATATGTAAAGCAAAGAGAAGCGGGAGAGGGTGAAAAAGAATGTGACGAACGTGGCAAAAAAAGGATGGGGTGAACGATGAAACACGCTTAGAGGTACCGTTTCGAAACAACAATCAACAATTGTGTAGATTCAGGTTACGCAGTCCCCCGCCGAAGAAGTTTTCCAGTCGATGTAAATGCTGGTTCATGTCAAGGGTTAAAATGATTTTTGTGCATTCCTGTCCCGAAGAAGTCTTACAGGCGGTATTTATGTCCATATTTGCAGTTAAATTCGTGGATTCCACCAAGCCACGTTCTACACCAACCACCGCTTACACCAAACCACGGTTCACACCAACCACCTTGTACACCAAACCACCGTCTACACATAACCACGGTTTTCACCAACCACTGTTTACACCAAACCACGTTTTTACACCAACCACCGTTCACACCAAACCACGTTTTACACCAAGCCACCGTTTGCACCACACCACGGGTTTATACACCAACCATCGTTTACACCAACCGACGTTTTACACCAACCAACGTTTAGACCACACCACGGTTTACAACAACCGCGAGTTCGGGACGAAGGAGAGAAGTGGGGCGGGCCTGTGTTGAAATATCAATTCAGAGTGGAGGGTTAGGATTGAAATATGAACTCCAAGGGGGAGTTGAATTGAGACATCAATTATTAGACCCGGACGAGCCAGCACTTGCTTCGCAAGACAAATTACTGACGCACTTCTGACGCTCTATCTGGCATATACTGTACTCTGGCACCCTATCTGGAGATGTGTTCTGGCATTATATCTGGCACTCTGCAGCTCCATCTGGCAAACATTCTGGAATTCTATCTGGCACAAGTTCCGATATTCTACGTATCTGGAACATTTTCGGACGTTCTTTTGACATAGACTCTGACATTCCTTCTATCTGGTTCAGGTCTGGAGGTGCCCACTGCGATCTAGCGCTCACGGTTCAGGCCCGGTGGTGCCCACCGCGATCTAGCGCTCACGGTTGAGGTCCGGTGGTGCCCACTGCACTCTAAGGCTGGCGGTGGAGGTCCGCTGGTGCCCAATGCGATCTGGTACTTGTGGAGGAGGAAGGGAGGAGGAGGAGGAGGGAGGACAGCGCTGATACAATCACCTGGCAGGTGGGGAATCAGCCATGTTCAGGCACACTCTGATGCAGTGAATGGCGAGATTAGCATCAGAGTTCACTGCGGCAAAATCAACTTTTTTGTTAGGATTTAGTAAAGCATTTGTACAATCAAAGGAACCACAGTAGCTAGTAACAGTTACACGATATAGCATGGACGCAACGAGGCTCAAATGATCAATTTGCATCGCATCTCTGCATGTTTGGCTCGTTAAGCAGCAAAATGCATTGCACACAACTATATAGTAGAATCATGTATAAGCCAGGAGACCTGTTCCCTTTTTGACCTCACAACACGCATTTTGAACTTAATTTGTAGGGTTCTGCTTGGTCACAGAGTTGACCGCAAGAACTGGCAACTTGCTATGGGTGATCTGGTGGGAAGCAATGTTTGACACCATGTAGGAGCAAGGATGCTACTAGGGGCTCCTGGCATCGCTTCTAGGAACAAGGGCTTTACTACTAGGAACAAGAAGCTACTAGGGGCTCCTGGCATCGCTACTAGGAGCAAGGACGCTACTAGGAGCCTCCTGGCCTTACTACTAGGAACAAGAAGCTAGTAGAAACAATATATAAATAGAATTTCACTATTGCGTGACAACTTGGTCGTCTTGACAGTTAGCAAAGCAGTCGTGCGCACTTCGATTGCCTCGTTTGACCGTGACTGGCAAAGCAAACGTTTCAAACGAAAGGCACCTCCTCCACAGGTGCCCCACATGCGCCGGCTCCCAGCAAGGGGCTCGCAACTTTTAGAGAAGTTCCAAGGCCAAGGCTCCAAGCCTTCTCAAGGGCGGCCTGCTTTCTCTTTTTGTGCATGGAGCAAGGTGGAATAAACTCGCAAGAGAATGGTCAAGCTGAACAAAACAACAAGTCAACCAGTTGTATCCAGTTGTCAAACTCAACCAAGTTAATTCTCAATGGAGTTGAAGAAATCAAAATACATCTCAAAAAGAGCACACACAAATTCTGCTTGGAAATCTAGCAACTTACGAAGCAATACGAAGGGGGCCTTCCAGCACCTTGACAACTTGTGCTCCCAATCTGTTGAGGTGTACATTGGCCTTAACGATCAGCACCCACCCATCAAAGGTAACTTCTGAAGCCGACTACAGCAATAGGATCTATGGGTCTTACGGGGCTGCATGCACAATGTGCTCAAAAAAATCCTTCAAGCCTTCAGTTGCCTCAGCCACTTCCAGCGCGACCAAAACAAGCAAAAATAGCCTTGCAAAATATGGGAGCATGCCGCTGCCATGCCGCTGCTGCCAGGTATTGTACAGTACTGCACGCACTTGCCAACAGAGCGAAGCTACACTGGCGCACATCTGTTATCACTGCTTCTCCTGGCAGTAAATCCAATTCACTCTGAAACCTTTTGACATCCGAAAGAACAACTGAAGGATCCAAATGGCAAGGAACAATTGCAATGAAACGGGCCTATGGGGCACTTGACTCCAGGTGAAACTTCGGGAAGCCTTTCACACGCCTTTTATGAATTGTTGCGGTCTCAACAGCGCACATGTTTTTGTTTACTGAACCGCAAACCGCCTCTCTCAAAGTGGATCCTCCGAGTGCATGAACTCGGCCATCCACGACCTAGAAAGCCCCAGGAAGAAAGTCCATGCTATTGGCAGCAAGAAGACCGCCTGCATAGGATAAAACATAGAAGATCCGGCTTCCATTCCACACCACCTCACAGGAAAATTCAGGACAACAATATCCTTCTGCGGCTGCTGCACATGCACAATACTATCCGTTTCTGGGCCTCGAATTTTGCAGCTCTGGTGGAGGTTCTACATGCATGGGGAAGTACGGAAGCTATGTGCCAGCAAGCGCCTTTCTGTATCTCGTACACGCTGCTCCAACTTGATGAACACAACTCTGACCGGTCATCTTGGAGTCAACCAGTCTTACATTCAAGCGTCAAGAACCAGTCACTCTCGGTTGCCTTGTTGGCAGGATTGATCAGCACATTGCAGAAGCCAAAAGGTGGAGAGGTCACAATGTCATCTGTGATGCACCTGCTTGATTCAAAGCTGGAGCGATATGGAAACAGCGCAGATGCAAATGGTTGCGTGTGGCTCCTGCTCGATGGGACCTTTTCCAAGGCTCCAGCAGCTGCAGCTGTAGGCTTTCCAGCTGCCACGTCCTCCAAGAGGCAACTCTATCAGTTCCAAGAAAACTCAGTGAAGAAAAGTGCAAACTGTTGACAACTCAGAGACAACACCCGACTCTGCTGGGAATTTGGATCCCGGAATCTTGTACATACGTGGATGCAGAGGCTAAGTCCAAAACATTGGAGTGGTTCAAGCCCAAAGGAATGCTACTGTGTACGTACATATAATATGTACATGTACACATTTGGTATCCAGCCTGTACACAGAAGTTGTGAACGTCCGTACTGGCCACAGTTTGTGCACCTGGACTTTCACCCAGCATGTTCAGCATTTGACAAACAGCAAATGCAAAGGCAGCACCTTCTGTGCTCGATACATGGCCGGTTCAGGATGGTTCCGGTCCGAGATACTACTCTGACTCTTGGCCGGTCAAGCTCTATTAAGCGTTCACCCATGTTCACCCTAGTCGAAGTCACGGCTCTGAAACTCATAGTACTGCAACCGCTGGAAGGTCCATGTAATGAAATGATTGGGATCGATGTTCAATGATGAGCTGGCTCAGGTGCTCCGGTAAAGAGGAAAAGCGGCTGCCAATTCCCACAATTCAGCTTCACAGCAAGAAAATGCCCATAGCAACTTGAAGCATGGCCTGATAGTGTGGCTCGACACTGTTGGAACCGAGATGAACGCCGAACTGAATTTTTAACGTCTTTCAATACTGTCAGCCGACATTTGCCGGTAAACAAATGCCAGTGAGACACCTACAAACTAGTCTTCCTCCATGACTACTGTACGCAATCATAGATTAGCAAAAGCAATTCTACAAAACATCAAAGAAAGGCAAGCTGTGACTTGGCCCTTGGTCCATGATTTCTGGACACAGCCGAGAAGTTTTGTCAGAATAAGATTGATGTCAATGGAAATGTTGCCTCGTTCTTCTCAGCCTCTTTCGGGCAATCTGCAGCAAACATATTGCAAACCAGTGGATTAGAACATATTCTTGAAGCATTCCTTGCACAGGCTACTATTTCACCTGGCCACATCACCAAACTAATTCTTCAGCCCATGAGTGGAAGAAATTTCTATCTCCCCATATTTAGCGCTGATCTTTTGAAGCTTCTCCTGGGCGCACAACTAGCTCAGACTGCTAACACATCCTTCACATTGAAAACGACAACACCTGTTTGATTCAATAATCAAAAGAGAAACACTCAGACACTAAACAACAATAGATCAACTCTCGTCAGAAATCAATTGGATGTGGGTACCCTCGTAATCTAAGTTACTCTAACTAACATGTTCACCAAAAGGCCAGCAAAGGCAGCTTGCTTTTCGCAGTCTTTGGCTGCCGTCTTTGTCGCCAAAGGGAGGAATGATGATAAGTCCTGATCAGTGGGAACTGGGAACCAACAGGTCAAGCCGAGGATATACATATAACCCAGCAAACCAGCCTCTGAATTTGCTTCGCTTTCTGCTCTGGTTTCATGGCGACGTCCTCCTTCTTCTTAGTATGGTAATTCATTGATGATATTTCTTGATCCTGTTCATGCAGTATTTGTGGGTGCAACGAGCTACTGAGGTTCCCACAAGTGCCGGGGCAGATGCACTTCGTCTCACTGGAACTCGATAAAGGCGCTCAAACACTGAGGGTGCTATCTTTGGTGTTTTGAAAGCCTTGCATGCTTTCGCTGAAGTTGGGTGCCTTTCTTCAGTCTCTTCTGAAGGGGCCTCTTCTGAATCTAGGACGTCTACATCTTCGTTCGGATCCTGTCCATCCTCTCGATCTGGCCATAGATCCAAGAAAGAAACGTCTTCCACCGTGATCTGCTTTGGGTCTTTGGAGCTGCTTGGTTCCAGACAATCAAAAAGCATTTGGGGATCGCCTCCCCATTTTCCTTTCTGGCAAGCTCGCCTCAAAATGCTCAAAGTCAATATCCCATCACCTTCCTTGTCGAAGTTCTTGAACGCATTGCCGACAGAGCCATACAAGCCCGATGCCCACTCTTTAAAGGACATCAATACGTTGTAATGGTCTGGACTGAACTCCTCCATACTGATGTATCCCGAAGCGTCACTGTCAATGAATCCTTGTGGGCACAAATGGGCGGCTGAGAAACATCAAATTAAAACCTGTCTTCCCAACATTTCAGAAGGACTGATCAAACCCAGCTGCGCCAGGCCCCACCAGTGTCACCTCTGAAGCGTACTCTCCTGCCAACTTTCAGCACATGGAAGCACACCAAGCGTGACCTGTTGAAACAGGGTCAATGGATGTCAATGGGGAATATGTCTCCTGCAGCCAGAAACGAACTCAGCCCATGAGACCTGATTTGGGAGGTGAGTGCAGGATTGGTTCGGAAGGGCAAGCAACTATCTATCATCGGTTGTGACATCTTAATCTTAATGTTTAGAGTTGGACTTCTTCCGAGGACGTACTCTCATTTTTACCAAAAGAATTACTCGGCCTCTACACACGTCAAGGGACATCAGCAACAACACATGGCTACTAAAGTAGATAGTGATGTGATTGGCTTTCGCAATAAAAGTCGTGTATCCAAACAAGCTAGCGAGCGAAATATCAAGGATGCCCAATGCCCATAGCCTCATTCTGTCCATCAATATCCAGATGCCGCCACGCATTGAGTGGTGTTCCTCAGACTCAAATGGTGCCTAGCCACCTGCAGTCCCTGAGGGCTCCAGAAGCCCTAGCACTTAGGTCAAAACCATATATTTCCAATAGAATCTCTCTGATTTCATTCCAAGCCTCAAACAAGTGACAGCACAACACTACAGCATAGGCATTGATGAGGAAAAATAAGAAAAACATCGACAATAACCTGTATCCAGCCTCTTCGGAAGCCTGTGCTGTCAAGAAAAGAGGTGGCTCCTGCGATGTCACCAAAAGGAACCCTGCATACTGTGGAGTCAACAAACAGTTGCCATGCACTGCACCAAATCGACTCTGGAGGCGGTCCCACGTGTCCAACCAGTACAAGTCTGCCTTCAGCTTTTTGACTTTGCTCCAAACATAGATACGATGAACTCTATAGGACGTGGGGGGTTAGCAGGAGCTTGAAGATATGTAAGGCAAGCAACATAAAAGTGTGTTGCATGTACAAAAAACTCGTAAGTCATTTCGTTTGTATACTAGTGTAGGGCTATGAGTCAAGCCTCAGAAATGAATCCCACGTTGAAATAGTCCAGTGCAGAAAGCATTTCTGCCTCGTCAAAATGTGGCAATACTTGTCAAGGAGTTTGAGAAATAGCGCTACTAGCAGTCAGTGAGTCAGTACTGGGCTTGGATCGGTAGACTCGGCTCTTGTGAGAGCTCTGAGTGCTTGAATGTTCAACTTCAGTCTCCATTTTTCGCATTCTTTTCACTCCGAGTCCAGTTTAGTGTCAGATCCACCTGGTCGCCGCTGCACTTCCAACCCAGTGCCTGAAGAAAGCCAAACATAGCAGTTGGTCCCTCAAAAAACAGTTCTTGTATAATCATGTATAATCTGCAACGTGTGCAAAAGAAGATATTCAAGTCTGCGAATTGACCGTTTGTCCAACCGTTTGATGCTTGTGTGCATTTGAGTGCCTTCAAACATTCCACAAACTTGCGCAGGAGAATCTTCCGCTCGGAGTTCAGCAGAACTGTCACTGAACCCTCCTTCTGTGGTGAAGAACGGGCATCGACCTGCAGCTGAGAGGAGAATGGTAAGACCAGACCGAAGATGTTCAGGAAAAAAGTGCACATATATTATACGCATATTTAACTATAAGGAGGATGACAAAAGGTAAAGGCCCCTTACCTTCATGTTCATTCTCTTAGAGCCTAAGAGACACAGTCTCAGAGACACACCAATTCAGGAAGATTCCAGACCTTGGCAATCTGTTATCATTCCGACAAATTCAAAACATCCAACCAATCAAACAAAGACCCCGAAATAAAGGCTTTGAGTTCCTTGCCTCTTGCTGTCAAATCTGTCATTTGTCTAACGCACACTCAAAAAAAAGAAGCACGAACGGTCGGAATGCGACATGCCCTGAAGAAACCTCGGTGAAACGAAACCTAAGAGGCCCGTTATGGCGCTGAGATGTGCTAAGGTACGCATTTTCCAAGACCCATGAGAGAGGTTGTGATGCAAGGATCCTGCAGGATCCGACTTATGGCAATCGTGCAGTAGAAGTTCGAACAAACATGCAGTGAAACACAGAATTTGAAAGCACCACAACATTGGCAGGTATGCTGCCTAGCTTTGTTAGATCAGGTCACCAGCAAGATCCCACCAAACATGAAAAACCAAGAAACATGTCGACAAACGGCCTCCGGTTCCAAGGTTCACACACACAAAACATCGACTTGCCATTATTTTCGAAACTCTTACCCTTCTTAAAGTTGATTTTAGTCTCCGCCATCATCACTATCATGCAGCACAAAGGCACGCATTAAACACATTTTCAATTCACATGATGACTGAGTTTGCAAACATGATCAATTAAACTACTTGTAAAAGCAATTTTACAAATATGTGGAGAGAAAAAATAGGGGTTTGCATGGGATTCCAGCACTAAGACCTTGCAGCAAGTTTCTAGTCTCATGGCTTTCAAAATCCTTAAAGCAGCGACAACTCATCGTCAGAATGTCTTGTGCGACACACATTACTACGGATCAACTTCGAGACCTAGCACTCAAATCATATACAGTAGAAGCTAGGCAGTCTGAAGACATCCGCCGTGATACCGTACTTCGGTTTTGTATGTCATGAGGCTTCAAGTCTGAGGTGGTCACCGCCCGGCAGGACCCACTGATTTGTCGACACCATGCCCTCCACATATCGAAGCTTCATCTTCAAATATATTCAATGTCATATTCGTCATACTGAGGAACAACTCTGAGCCTGAAGGAGGCCAATGCCACTGCCCCAAGAGGAGAAATATCTTGCACCCCAATTCGACCATCTTTGTCCCTGACACATTTAAAGCAGCAACAAGTCGCGGGTCAAACAAGGAGTCTTGCAAGCTTAGGGATTAGGGACAGCACGAATCCAGAGTGGTCCACAAGGACTGTAAATCAACGTGCTTGTCCTGAGAAAGTGTATCATCGACTTCTTCACATCAAGGTGATGGGAATTTAGCTGGAACGTCTGCAGCCGCTTAGAAACGTTGAAGCTCTTCAATTAATGGGCAAGGCCCAGCTGCAGTAGTCACAAAACCACAAGTCAAAATATTGAGCCCGCCACAATTTCCTGGCCACGGCAAAAATGACGCAAAGTCCTTGGCCGAAACAGGCCCATTATTCGAATACTTCAGGGAAAGCTGCGGACTTATCTTCCTTCGACTTAGCATAAGTCACAAAGTGCATCAAGTCCAGTACTGTAATTCTATTGCATAATTTCGTTTATATCTATCCATATATATATATATACATTTTTTCTTAAACCATACATAAACATACACATAATACTGTTTATATATGCAATATTAATAATACATATAATATATATACAATCAATTACAGTCATACTTCGTGAAACCAGGTCCCCTCAACATGCATTGGCCTATTGGGATAAAGCCCAAAGCCAGAACCTCCAAGTTGGCACTTCGTGATGACACACGCAAACTGCTTTCTACAGTGCCACCATCGAATTTTAGTGGGGCATGGTAGAAGTCAGTCTCAGACTCTATCGGAAGTCCAGTGCACCAACTCGGTCCCATGGATCGGTTGACAACCAGTGAGCACAAGCGATATAGTCTTGGACCTCCTTGAGAAGGAACCCTTGCGCTCGCTTAGACTCAACACAAACTGGATTTCTGGTCTTGCTGCAAACCGACGAATGAATCGCAGTGTGTATGCGGGTGCTCTTTATAATTTGTTTTTGCAAAGTGAAGCCAGAGTGGAGCTATCGTGCCAACAGAACCAAAACTGGTCGATGCCAAGATGCAGCTTGTCTACGTAGAACTTGCCTTCAGGATCAATTCCCCGCCGCCAAGCTCGTGCCTGCAAACATCTTGTGCGGGCGGTTTTACTTCACAAAATATGTGGAGTTCAACTTGCCAACACCCACAAATCCTACACTGCAGCCAGGTGACACATGATCCGAACTTCTCACGGCATTTTTGCCTGGCATATCTCGTCTACGGCAATTTACTAGTGTGGACAATACAACAGCCAAATGGGACATAGTGGGAGTCCATTTCGAGTCCCTTCCAAAAACTCTGACACGCACATGGAAACACAAGAAATCAGCCAAACTCTGCAAACCACTAAGAGCAAAATCAACCAATTTCTATACAGGCAGGCATGGCAAGAACACGGCTTTTGCACGTCGCTGCCGTCTCCTGACCTAGCAGGGTTGTAGCTTGAAGCTGCACAGATTCTGCTGTACTTTTAACATATTTTAAACATTCTGCAAAGACTCTGGAAGGAATCAGAATGCAACAATTGCTTTACTTTGAGCTATCCCCACCCGCTCAAATACACTGGTAGGATAACTATGGATAACTGGGTCGGGGTGACTGGCGAGGCATCCCCTGGGCCTCGGTGTGTTGTGGCTACGTCTGGTTTTGTCACACTATTTGTGTCATTGCTTGTTCGTTGCTGTCGTGTTTGTCCTGGCGTATTGACAAGTACAATATCTGTTGTGCTTATGTATTGTGTTGCCATGTGATGCTATGTGTTTCTGTTGTTTGTGTCATTCTTTGCCGTTTGTTGCAGGTTTGTCCTTCTGTACTGAGTGTACTGTCAGGTGTTGTGAGTTGTGGTCATGCTTGGGTCAGGCCACTGGCAGGACCACTGTGCTGGGCCACTTGCGGGATGTGCTGTGGTTGTGTTTGGCGTTGTCATTTGGTGTTGTCAGTGTCATAGTGCGGCAGCGCAGCGGCAAAGGCAAAGGCAGCGACAGGGTGGGCTGTCTAGCTAAAATCATTTAAAACAAAAAACGAAGTGCCCTCAATTAATCCTGTCGGATAAAGAGGAAAAGCAGGGACCTTTGTACCTTCTTAATTGTTCAAATCTTTTTATGCTCTATGCTCCCGTCTTCATGACGTTCATGGTGAACCGCTGGATACTGGATACACTGGATACTGTGACCATTGACCCTGCATCAGTTGATAGCATGGCCTCTCGCAGCCGTCTTTGACCTGAAAACTATGGGACTTCATCCGCAATGCATTTCTCCCGGCTTAGGCATCCCACGCTGAACAATCACCAATGGTGGGAGACTTTCAAAGAACTTTGCCATCCAAGGCCTTGCACTGGTGCAAACGGATGCTTTGAACGTCTAACTGCGCTTCCCTCTTGCATTGGTCGAAGCCTATTCAACGAAGACAGCTCTTTATGCCTGGCAAATGCAGAAGCAAATCTTGAAACACGAATTCCTATTACAGTAGCGATGGCCTCCTCCGTAGTAGCGATGGTCCCCACCCTAGTAGCGATGGACCCCACCCTACTATATATATAGTGATGGCCTCCACCCTAGTAGCGACGGCCCCCACCCTACTAGTGATGGCCTCCACCCTTGTAGCGATGGCCCCACCCTACTAGTGATGGCCTCCACCCCAGTTAGCGACGGCCCCCACCCTAGTAGCGACGGCCCCCACCCTACTGGTGATGGCCTCCACCCTAGTAGCGAAGGCCCCCACCCTACTAGCGATAGCCTCCACCCTACTAGCGATGGCCTCCAACCTAAGAGCGATGGCCTCCACCCTAGTAGCGATGGCCCCCACCCTACTAGTGATGGCCTCCACCCTACTAGCGATGGCCTCCAGGCTAAGAGCGATGGCCTCCACCCTAATCTTAAAACACTACTTTCTATTACAAACCAAACCTTTCTCCGTCGCTCAATCAACTACTGTGCATAATAGTTTTGTGATTCATAGCTGTGAGTGGCTAACCTGTTTGTTACAAGGTACCTGATGCCTGACGGACTGCAAGGTCCCATATTATCAACAGCAAACTCTGGCTTGTCAAGTCAATCCTTGCCAAGATGCTGTTCGGACCAGTACACTGAGGCCCACAGCCTAGAGCACCAAAAAAGCAGCGACATGGATTGACCGCATCGAAGCAAAGGAAATGAGGCCAGCCTGACTGAGTAGTATATCCGTACAAGCATCTCGCATTCAGAATTGGAATAGGCCAAAATCTCCATCAACTGCCCCTGAAACTTCAGATTCCTGAGTCGCTTGCCGCTGGACTTGCCCACGAGACTTTATCTTTTCCTCAAAGATCGCTTTGTCTCTTGCCTTGCCATGCACAAACTTAGAGATCGCAAGACCCCAGAAAAGAACTGCGACTTGACATCTGATCTTTGTGCGTTTGCTGCCATATCTGCCATATCTTAGTGCCGGCCTCACTATCTGTCTCAAGGAAAAGTATTTCCTTTTGACCCAGGCTCAATGCAACGCACATATCCATTGCATCTTCCATGTCATGCATGCTTGTGTCCTCCTTGTTCACTTGGCCACTTTCATCGATGTCTATGAAATCAAAAAGGTAGGACAGCTCTGGCGCCTCAAGGGGCAAGTGGAAGGCACAAAACACGTGAGTGTGTGTGTGTAACCCTTGGAATCATAGGGATCCTTTCGGATTGTTTTAGCTTCACAGTTGTTTCCTTGTGTAGCAGGGGGACTGGAGCCGATTTGCCTATCCAGTCCAACGAAGCTATGGCATTTCGGCGGATGAGTGGTCTGATCAACCACTTGTACCTGCACAATTTTTAAATCTTTGGTAAAGGGCTAATGCACTCGGCAGACATGAACGAACGTCGTCAGCCTGCTCGATCCGCGATCGTCGATGGGTTTCTTCCGCTTTGGGCCTTCTTTCCTCTTAAAGTCCTCCAGGTTCCCGTGGTTCGTACTTGTTCCCTTAGGAATTGGAACCCTAGGCCGGCGTGTGGCACCGCTTTCAGTTCAGTACACCCTATCCTAAGTGTGTTTGGCCTCGTGCCAACCCGGGATGAGCCCGCAGAGTGCCTCCCGTGGACCCGTCGAACGGGTGTACGTCGAACGTATCCACTGCCCGGATACAGAGCAGCTCGCAGCGAGCGTAGGTGGCCTAGGCCGTACGTACGATGATTTTGTCCCATCTTTGGAATTCTAAGCTGGCTCATGCCTCTACGTGACCGTAGCGGTCAAAGATGGCAGCCCCTGGGCACGCCGTACGTGGTCGCAGCGACCGAAGTTTGTTCAAGGTTCATTGGAACCTGTCGCGAGCTTAGTCCCTTCTCCCCCTTCCCTTCCCCCTTTCTTTCTTTGCTTCCTGGGGTTTTCCTGAATGCAACACTCAGGATCACCCCTCTCTTTCTTTGGTGTGTCCCTGGACGCTTGTTCGTAGCTGGGAACACCTGCCTTTTTTCTTTTTTCTCTCCTCTCCCTTTCTCTCCCTCTCTCTTTCTTTCTTTCCTTCTCTCTCTCCTTCCTCCTTCCTTGGGTGTCCCTGGATGCTTTTGTCATAGCTGGGAACCTTCTCCTCTCTTCCTTTGGTGTGTCCTTGGACGCATGCGTCGTAGCTGGGAACACCTTCCTTTCTTTTCCCTCCTTTTTCTCGTCTCTCCCTACCCCTCCCTCTTGTTGGAACCTGTTGGGACCTTAGCCCCCTTCTCCCGCTTCCCTTCCCTCTTTCTTTCTTTGCTTCCTGGGGTTTTCCTGAATGCAACACTCAGGATCACCCCTCTCTTTCTTTCTTTGGTGTGTCCCTGGACGCTTGTTCGTAGCTGGGAACACCTGCCTTTTTCTTTTTTTCTCTCCTCTCCCTTTCTCTCCCTCTCTCTTTCTTTCTTTCCTTCTCTCTCTCCTTCCTCCCTCCTTGGGTGTCCCTGGCTGCTTTTGTCATTGCTGGGGACCTTCTCCTCTCTTCCTTTGGTGTGTCCTTGGACGCATGCGCCGTAGCTGGGAACACCTTCCTTTCTTTTCTCTCTTTTTTCTCGTCTCTCCCTACCCCTCCCTCTTGTCGGCACCTTAGCTTGGGATGCTACTAGGGGCTCCTGGCCTTCCTACTAGGTGTTAGGTGTTTCTTTGACGCTACTAGAGGTCCCTGGCCTTTCCACTACTTGGGGACGAAGAGTCTCACACCACCTATGGCGCGGAGCTTAAAAATCTTGCCTCCCCTCGGGGAGGCGTGTGTGTGTAACCCTTGGAATCATAGGGATCCTTTCGGATTGTTTTAGCTTCACAGTTGTTTTCCTTGTGTAGCAGGGGGACTGGAGCCGATTTGCCTATCCAGTCCAACGAAGCTATGGCATTTCGGCGGATGAGTGGTCTGATCAACCACTTGTACCTGCACAATTTTTAAATCTTTGGTAAAGGGCTAATGCACTCGGCAGACATGAACGAACGTCGTCAGCCTGCTCGATCCGCCATCGTCGATGGGTTTCTTCCGCTTTGGGCCTTCTTTCCTCTTAAAGTCCTCCAGGTTCCCGTGGTTCGTACTTGTTCCCTTAGGAATTGGAACCCTAGGCCGGCGTGTGGCACCGCTTTCAGTTCAGTACACCCTATCCTAAGTGTGTGCGCTAGACTGCAACAGCGCTTCACGCCATCTGGGCCGCAAGCTGTTCCGTCAAACCCATTCGCGACGCATGCAGAAATCCAGCCTGCAGGCCATGGACATCAGCACGGGTTGGGCTCCCAAGTAGCGCTCAATCTTGCATGAGGTTTCCGTGAACCCAAACAGCTGGTCTGGGAAAATGCAACCTAAGACAATACTTAGTCTCATTCCGCAATAATCATTTGCGTCTGAGTCTATTGTACAGAGCATCTTTGCTTTGAGAATGTGGAATGTGCATCGTATGGACAGTTTCCGTCCACTGATTTCAAGTCCACCGGGCTAACAACAAACAGGACACATGTTTGATCAAATTACAACAGTAATTCCAACACGTATGGTGGGCGGCAAAAGTTGTCCCTCCCAACTGTTCTCTTGAGACAACCGTGCAGGAACCATCAGGAAACTATGTTGAAGCTTGGGCATAACAAGGACGCTACTAGGAGCAAAGGGCATCGCTACTATGAGCAAGGACGCTACCAGGCGCTCCTGGCCTTGCTACTAGTAACAATAAAGCTACTAGGAGCAAGGACGCTACCAGGCGCTCCTGGCCTTACTACTACTAAAAATAGGCTACTAGGAGCAAGGGCATCGCTACTAGTAACAAAGGGAAACTATGTTGGAAACTAGTTACACCCAGGCCCAGGACTGATGTTTTGCCTCCAAGCAGCTTAAGAGGGCAGCAAATTCCCTGTTAAACAACAATCCGAATGGGAGTTTAGGCAATTGAAGCTTTGTCACCCGTTTTGGCGATTCGATAACAAAGATACTATAACATTCGGAGACTTTCAACACTCACCATGTCCTCAGTGCTCAGCACCTCCATGTAAACAACAGTGCAAACCCTAAACCATACACCCTAAAACGACAAACCCTATGAAGGTGGGTGGGTGGGGGGCAAACCACGTGTCCTGGCACTATAGTTACAACATGTTACAAATGGTAACTGTCACAAAAACAGGAAGGGAACAAGGAACACACCAGTGTTTGGGGGTGACGGTTCAAAGCCACAACCCTCCACAAAGGAAAGCCTTCGCGGTCAAGATTTCCAAGCTGCTTTACATCAAGCGCCCGCCACAAATCTGCCTTTGTACTGTGCTTGCGCATCAAACACTAGTATGGAGATCTGTTCAATCACAAAACCCAAAGAGCTTTGGGCAGTCGTCTTTCTCGTCTGTCTTGCTGCCGTCAACAACTAGAAGAGCAACATCACTCTCCCGCCATCAAGGGTCTGGGGCCCATGCTGGACTCCCCCACACATCTTTTATCCAGTCGCGGATGCGGTTGACGAGCTCACCATCGGTTGGACACAGCTCCTCAATCAAGCACTTCCACCTTTGTCTTTTCTTGGGGCAGTGCAGCAAAATTCTCACTATATTCGAACATGTGACATATGAATCGAAATATGACATTGGTGAAGACATGACATCTTCTCCTCGAGGGTAAGCATCCCATCCTCTTTCAAACCAACAACATTCTTGGCAGTCAAGTCCTGGCGATGCTTTTACTGAGCCTGGCTGGATTGGCCTACTAGCACTGTTTTCTCCAAGCAGGCCAGGCATGCCAAGAGCCCAAGCCTCCTCAAATGCCAATCCAGTTCCTGCGGAGCAATGAAGTGAAGGAATTTTATAAGAATTCCGATTCCCTCAATTCCGCCTCAAAATATGTCATATCTATTTCACTATCTACTTATATACTTATATGTTATACTTAACTATTGACTATTGAACGACTGACTACTTGGCTCTCTTGAGTACTCTATCTTAAGTACATACTTATTTAATCACTTACAAGCTTAACTATTCAAAAGCTTACTCCATTACTTAACTATTGATAGTTTAACTTAACTACTTAACTATCTACAAACTTATTTGTTTACTGGACTACTGAGCTACTTAGCTACTTACCAACTTAAGTACTACAGACTCTACTTAGCTACTTAACTACTTACTCACTTAACCACCCAGCTACTGAAGTACTTAACCATTTGGGTGTGGCCAGAAACCCTGGTATGGACCGTTCCGTGCTGCAGCGAGAGTGGTCCAAACCCTATGGACCAGAGCGCTGATCACAGCTTATTGAGGAAAGTCAAGTTCACAATCAGGTGACGCTTTCAATTTACTGGTTTCATGCACTTTCAGTTTCTTGGGTCCACCAAGAGTAGACAGGCAGCTGGATTTTCACCACTCATTTTTTGGCTATCAGCAGTTTTCCAATTAGTCGATTCCGGTACAGTAACTTGAAAGTGCCTGCCCTGACACAGTGGACTCAAAGAGCTGTGTGAATGTGTGCGTGTTTTTGTTCGCCTTTGTCATGCCATCTAGTCTCCCCACGTCACAAGGATGCATGCATGGAATGGGTAGGCAATGCAAAAACCAAGCAATGGCCAGCGGAAAAGGGCGGACACCAGCAGTGACAGACCTGAGAAACAAATGAATAGAACTGTTACGTGGCCAGCGGAAAAGGGCGGACACCAGCAGTGACAGACCTGAGAAACAAATGAATAGAACTGTTACGTGGCCAGCGGAAAAGGGCGGACACCAGCAGTGACAGACCTGGGAGACAAATGAACAGAAATGCTCCATGGCCAGCGGAAAAGGGCGGACACCACCAGTGACAGACCTGGGAGACAAATGAATATAGATGTCGCATCGCCAGTGAAAATGGGCGGACACCAGCAGTGACAGACCTGGGAGACAAATGAATAGAAATGCTACACGACCAGCGGAAAAGGGCGGACACCACCAGTGACAGACCTGGGAGACACATGAATAGAAATGCTGCATGGCCAGCGGAAAAGGGCGGACACCAGCAGTGACAGACCTGGGAGACAAATGAATAGAAATGCTACATGGCCAGTGGAAATGGGCGGACACCAGCAGTGACACAAAGGGCGGACACATCTTAAGAAAGAATTGAGAACCCCTAGCAGTAAACTGTTTGGGTAAATACCTTATGACCATTTCAACGCTCTCCCCAGTGGCCCTGCGGACACATAGAAAATACCACACGTAATTCAAAAAAAGAAGTGCTCGAAATGCCCCGACACTTTTTCCGTTTGCTTGTTCGCCTCCTTAGGCAAGAAGGTCTTCAAGCTTGTGCAGCTTCTATATCTTCTATCAAGGACTTGTGCACCCTTGCTTGGGGAAAGCCCTTTCGGCTTTCGAGGCATCTCTTCTTCGAAGAACTCTGAGCTTGGTTTACTTGGGAACACTTGAGTTTCCTCTTTTCAGATCTTTTCAGCCATACTTTTCCAGCATGTGCGTTCCCGCTCTTGAACACGCAGCAGTGATCGCCTCTTCTTTCTCGACAACAAAAGTCTGCTTTCCCTAACATCCCATTTGTATCCATTTGTCTATCATTCCTACTTCGTCCTCGTCCGAGAACAAATGTATGGCTAGTCCAACACAAATGTGTGCTTCCTAGAAGGGATTCTGATTAAGCCCCCTACCCGGACCCGCCTGGTCAAAGGCACAGGCTTCTACAACATAGTCACAAATGCAACAATTGAAGAAATAGGCACAGGAAACCTGTGGTGTGCCCAGAACTACTTATATACATACTTAATCGCTTACTTATTTACTTACTTGATTACTTAGTTAGTTAGCTAGTTACTTACTTGCTACCTACTTACCTACTTACCTACTTACTTACTTACTTACTGAAACTTACATCTTATATACCACTTGTCCTCCCCCATAGCAGTGCCCTGGAGTCTTCTCCCTAAAAAACTCTCGACGTCTTCCTTGATGCTCACGTCCATGGAACCTTGGTCGAAGGCAGCACTCAACCATGCAGAACTTGAGGTTCTAGTTCTTGGGGACTATTTATAGAGTATATCATAATCTTCCTATTCTTGAGATCAACCTTGCACTTTTTCCTCTTCTCCGGTTACTTGCAAGCTGAGTTGTCAACCGTCTGGATCCAGCTCTCGCCTCCATCCTCGCAACAGCAAGCCACCTTAGCCAAGTGATAATCCCACATGTTCACACCTAGCTTCCCAGTTCTTGGACTTCAACCGCCTCTTTCGGCCAATGTTGAGACCAGGTCCCTTCGTTCTTTTACCTGAGGCAAATTCAATTCAATAGCCTGCCATGTTAATTATGAGGCAAACACAAAGTGAGCAAGAAACATGCTAGTTTTGCTCCAAGGCTAGAACTCGCTTTAGTTCCTGGTTTGCCTCCTCAAGCAAGGCAGACTTTCGCCTAGCATTCACGGAGCAACAAAAAAAACTAAAGCACTTTGCAACACATCCAGCTCTGCCTTAGTCCTGTAAGACCTTGGCTTTCCTCTCCCATTCAAGTGGGCTGTTCACTCGACACCATAGACGTGGTTGATTGGTTGATTTGTGCGAGTCAAGCCGTCTGCCAAGATCGCTGTCAGGTGTTGAGTTATTCAATTCCATTCGGTTTACAAGCGGGTGCTTTTCAATTTGCTGACTCCTTACTCTGTAAGCGGGCCTTGATCTGCAACAGCAATCTTGAGGACAAACGGCACGAAGGAACGTCAAACAACATCCGTTCTATGTTAAGTCTTTCTGGGTTCTCAAGTGCTTTGTTTTATTGGATGATATTGGGTGTGTTCTGTTCAACATGGAATGCACCAACAAACATCCAAATCCAAATGTATAACTCTCCAAAATCTTTAACTGTAAACAACGCAGTAAAGAAAACGCGTAAGGTCAAAATCGATTCTGATCCATTTTATGCCATGTGGACTGGACGGTTAAACTTAGATTGACTCTTGTAAGCACGAGCAACGGGAGCAGTTGCCAGGCATTTGGGCTGGAAGCACATGTCATTTGCAGTGCTCCAACCCATAAGAAGAGCTACTACCCTTACTACCCTGGCCAGGAGCCTTTTTGCCAGAAGATTCAGTAAGCTGCAGCAAGTAACCAAATAACATGTGACACGCTGCTTGACTCCCCTAGCCTTTCAAGGCCTTACCAAGCTCTTCCGAATTGCCTGGCCAAGACGTCGGAACAGCTATGTACAACGGCTTGCCACGAGATCTTTGTCCAATTCTCGGGCTGCTTCACTCGACCTGGAACGGCATGAACTCCAGGTGACCAAAGCATGCCAAATTGGACAACTGAGTCTGCTCTCGGCATATCTTCTACATTTTTTTGTCTCCCTGAACTTACTTTGTGCAACTATTTTCAGTGTTATTGTAATCTATTTTAATATGTGTATTTACTGTATATATAATGATTTTGATGCATAGCCGTAGCCTCCATTGCAGCATCACGAGCTTCTGGAGTGGCCTAGCAAAAGATTCGGGTGATTCTCAGCACCAACAAACATCTACAAACATTGAACGCCAATTCAAACAGACTCCAACAATAGCGTACCATCCAGGACTGCACATTCACATGCGAATCCAGCGCTGCATTTGTTGCATCGTAGTAGACACTTGGCTGCAGCTTCTCCGTCCACGGATGTTCTTGAGATGGCCGTGGCAACAGTTGGGTTGACCTCAGGACAAATCTTTAGCCAACGGTCCAAGAGCAGTACATGATAATAAAATGTAATAAATGCATTTCAGCACGGACAAAGTTTGCACAGCGGGATGTCCTGAAGCATGACATCAGGAATCATCAGGAAGAAAGGAACTCCCGGCTTCCAAGAATGCTCCGAAATACTTTCCGGTGCAAAGAGTAGATTTGTGCAAAGAAGGAGGTCTAGCATCATGCAAACCACCTTTATCTGTTTGTGTTTGGCCTGTATACTGATAGACAGGGGGCAAGCGGCAAGGAACTGAGGGCCAAGCGCCAAGCTGGCGTAGTTTTGGCTATCAGGAGGCGCCAACACCGGCATGGGCGCCGCTTGACCTTCCTTGGCCCATGCGAGTGCTAACATCCTCACACCACTCTCAATTGTCTTTCCGACCTCATGGATCCGGATCCCCTTATTCAGGCTCTGGCGGGAGTGGTCTTTGACTCTTGTGCCACCTAAGAGGTCGCGTTGAGGCCAAAATGCTGAAATGGTCATTTCCGAATCTCCGAAAGGCTCAGCTTGCTGCAGAATCAGATCCGTTGGGTAGTGACAAGCGCAGGCCAACAGGCCGCGTCCCCAAAGCCCGCAAGGTTTTTGGTGGTGGCTGCCTTTGCGGTCGCAGTGCGAGAATTTCTTTGCAGTTTGACGTGTTCTATCTGCTTACATATGGCTCAAAGCACTCATTATATCCTACTGTCTAATGACTTAGGCCAACGTGATGCAAGTGACATACCAATCTGGCTACCCCCAGGGCTAAGTCATGTGCCCTGACATATCGAGCAAAAAAAAATGTCTGGGTTGGGAAACCTGGTGTCATAGGACCTGTGGACACCTCCTCGACAAAAAATGTAAAAAAACAGCTAAATAATGCTAGATACCACTGCCTGGCACCCTGGTGACAGTGGTGACATAGGGTGCGACTATGTGTTGCTTCCTTGAATACCTCATACATATTTCTATGAATATCATGGTTGTGGCCTGATGACATAGGCCTTAAGAGGAAATGCCAATGTTGGATCAATCCTGATGACATAGGCTTTTGGAATTGGCGTGTATGTCCGACAAGTCCTAAGTTACTAGTCAGTAGTATATCATAAAATCTCAATGGAACATGCTTCAATGATCTCCAATGGGACCCGCAGAATGGTCCATGTTGGGCAAAACAAAAACGTCGTTGCACTGATTTTTGAGATTTTTTGTCCGTCTGTCTGATTTGGCTTCTGACCGAGCAGACTCAGCAAGGCCCAAGGTCTCCTTCCAAAGCACATTGCGTCAGCTTTGTTCTTTCTGCATCTTCCTTTGAAGCTTATGATAGCTTATTGTGTACGAACCTTTTCACACTCCTAGCTCGGCCTAGCTCTTCTCCTCATTCTTTTGTCCACTGGGTATTTCGGCTGAAAAGCTCATCTGCATAGTCAAATTCCTCACAACTGCAATTTTGAATGAAACCTAATGAAACATCAACAGCATTCAACAGCCATCGAGTAACATGTGCAAAGCTACTGAACAAATCGTATGCCGTATTCAAGGTACATGGATTCAAACCACTGCCATTTGATTGGAATTCTACCAAGGTGTTCCAAGGCTGTAACACAAGTGCTTCAAGCTTCCTCTTGTGCCTTGGCGGGTGTTGATCCGTCGCAAGCCGCTGGAGTAAAAATAGGCGAATGATTCAAGGAACAGAACTTCATGCTGGCACACCACCCATCAACCGAGCAGTTTCATCTGACACAGCTTGACGTTTAGACACATTGTGACACATTTATATATATATATATGTGTTTGATGGTGTTTGTTTTTTTTGAAGTGCTGTGAGGCAAATCCCAAACCTAGGGAGCAAAACAATTGAGGTTCGAGCCCTTGTCGCACATTGCCACTCTCCCACTCACTCAGTTCGGACTCGTCTGCATCTGTCTCGTACCCAGCCTGATGTCAAGACACTTCTACGTTCACAAGGGACCATCCTCACCAACAGTAACTGTTGTGCAAAGCTGCAGGCCTACCAACGTACATCTTGGAACCTTCAGCTAGTGTTGTTCGAGAACAACTGGCCTCGTAGCCACTGTCGTCAGTGGAAGACCAACCTTTGTCCATTTGCAAAGCGAAACCAAGCAGCACAACTGTTTATGTGCACTAGACTGCACTACAATTCTGCATGCACCCTTGCAGGTTTCACTCTTGTCTCTGTGCTAGACTGTTTAGCCCTTGCTCTTAATAGTTTTTGTTTATTCATACTTTAACGACTTTAACACCCATTCTCATTCTCCAATAATTGAAACGATCTCAACATGGGCCGTCTCAAGAGCTGAATAAATCGAAGGTGATCTTCATGCGTTCAACTAAGCGGCAGGCACAGGTGCTCGGGACAAGCCTCAAGCAAACCCAGCTTGAGGTCTTGATGGTCTTCGATTTAATTTCGACTATAAACATCTGTAGACCTTCCTAGGATGGCCTCCAACCTACTAGCAATGGCCTTCAACTCAATAAACTCTAGACTCTAGACATCTCTAGACCT